ATCATTTAATATCCATTTGAATCCAAATCTTCTAAGTATTTGCAACTATAATGCCCGTGTGATCTCGATAGTTCAATAGAAAACTTTTGGAACCTAAATCAATGCTCACCGTTGATGCCTCTTCAAATCCATATCAAATCTGGACAGCATCTCTGATGAGGTGGGCCAGGAAGGCGCCTCCGCCAAGTGACGAAGGCCAAGCGCACCGCCTGGCAGCAAGGATGGACATATTCTTTTTGCATCTTTTTGCTTCAGTGCAGAAGCGCTTGGATGAAGCTGAAATAGCATCCCAATGGATCCACCATTTCGATGGCCGCCATTTTGGCAGATTCAATCCCCATGGCTGGTCGGAAACTCCCATGTTTGGCAGATTCAATCCCAAGTATGGATGGAAAGTGGAAAATAAGTCAAACCACTAACCAGTTAACAATTGCAGCGTTTTTTCGCCCTACTCGAATAGACAGGAAGAAAAATACCCCTGCAATTTAAAGGGTGGTTAGCCACCTCAAAAAACGAGATAAGACTGTAAGACTCGAGTGATCTGTTCCCATACGTTTGGGACATTTTGGGACTGTATCAAACAGCCGAACAAGTCAATCTTTGTGGCCTCTACACAGGCGCCTCCATGAACGCATCTGAGTTCCTCCTGGTGGCTTGAAACTGCTGGGGCCGTGCAGAGTTTTTGCTTTCCGACTCGTTGCAGAGACTTGTTCACTTGGTTCGGTGGAAAAATGGCGATCTTTTCTTGTCGTGAAAATATCAAAATCAAATAACTGTGTGTCCTATCGGACACGCTGGTAACATGTATACAAACTGCCTAGGCAAAATATGTTTTATGTTCTATAGTCACAGGTCCTGATCAATTGCCAAAAATAATAGTTTTGGCAACCTATCGATTATGGGTCCTAAAAGGTGGTCCAAAATAGTTTCCATATCTCCAGGCTGAGGCAACATTTCTAAATTATTTTGCAGGGTCGGGATATACAGCCAGAGCCAAGTGAAAAAGTCAGGAGCCCTGAAAATAATTTTGAATATGTTTTGAATATGTGTCGGACAGTTTATTCTTCATCCCAGAAAACAAGGCACGAGCTCATTCGGGGGGGCCTTTGTTTCACAGGGTAGGCGAGCATTTTGCATGCAGAATGTCTCTGTTAAAAGGGTTTTCAAAGTTCAGCGCGTCTTTTCCAAAACTTGGACGAACAAAACAAGGGGTTGACATTGAGAACATCTGCCATCATCGATTTCAGGGGCAATATGTCAAACAAAAAGGATTCAATGTTGACAATCTCTTTGACAGAAAAGGCATCCATGTGGGGAGCATCATGTGAAACAAAAAAAAGGTTTCGCATTAAGAACAGCTGTCACAAAAGGCATCCATTTCGGGGGCATTTTGCTTTAAAAGAAGTGGCTTCACATTGAGAACATCTTTCATAAAGGCATCCATTTTGGGGGCATTGTGTCAAACAAAAAAATGTTCAATGTTGACAACATCTTTGACATGAAAGGCATTGGTTTTGGGGGCATCAGGTTTCAACAAAGAATAGGTTTCACGCTGAGAATTAAAAAGTCTTTGCCTTTGCTGAAAGGCATCCATTTCGGGGGCATTTTGCTTTAAAAGAACTGGCTTCACATTGAGAACATCTTTCATAAAGGCATCCATTTTGGGGGCATTGTGTCAAACAAAAAAGCTTCAATGTTGACAACATCTTGGACATGAAAGGCATTGGTTTTGGGGGCATCAGGTTTCAACAAAAAATAGGTTTCACGCTGAGAATTAAAAAGTCTTTGCTGAAAGGCATCCATTTCGGGGGCATTTTGCTTTAAAAGAACTGGCTTCACATTGAGAACATCTTTCATAAAGGCATCCATTTTGGGGGCATTGTGTCAAACAAAAAAAGGTTCAATGTTGACAACATCTTTGACATGAAAGGCATTGGTTTTGGGGGCATCAGGTTTCAACAAAAAATCGGTTTCACGCTGAGAATTGAAAAGTCTTTGCTGAAAGGCATCCATTTCGGGGGCATTTTGCTTTAAAAGAACTGGCTTCACATTGAGAACATCTTTCATAAAGGCATCCATTTTGGGGGCATTGTGTCAAACAAAAAAGGTTCAATGTTGACAACATCTTTGACATGAAAGGCATTGGTTTTGGGGGCATCAGGTTTCAACAAAAAATCGGTTTCACGCTGAGAATTAAAAAGTCTTTGCTGAAAGGCATTCCATTTCGGGGGCATTTTGCTTTAAAAGAACTGGCTTCACATTGAGAACATCTTTCATAAAGGCATCCATTTTGGGGGCATTGTGTCAAACAAAAAAGGTTCAATGTTGACAACATCTTGGACATGAAAGGCATTGGTTTTGGGGGCATCAGGTTTCAAAAAAAAATCGGTTTCACGCTGAGAATTAAAAAGTCTTTGCTGAAAGGCATCCATTTCGGGGGCATTTTGCTTTAAAAGAACTGGCTTCACATTGAGAACATCTTTCATAAAGGCATCCATTTTTGGGGGGCATTGTGTCAAACAAATAAAAGGTTCAATGCTGACAACATCTTTGACATGAAAGGCATTGGTTTTGGGGGCATCAGGTTTCAACAAAAAATAGGTTTCACGCGGAGAATTAAAAAGTCTTTGCTGAAAGGCATCCATTTCGAGGGCATTTTGCTTTCAAAGAACTGGCTTCACATTGAGAACATCTTTCATAAAGGCATCCATTTTGGGGGCATTGTGTCAAACAAAAAAAGTTCAATGTCGACAACATCTTTGACATGAAAGGCATTGGTTTTGGGGGCATCAGGTTTCAACAAAAAATAGGTTTCACGCGGAGAATTAAAAAGTCTTTGCTGAAAGGCATCCATTTCGGGGGCATTTTGCTTTAAAAGAACTGGCTTCACATTGAGAACATCTTTCATAAAGGCATCCATTTTGGGGGCATTGTGTCAAACAAAAAAGGTTCAATGTTGACAACATCTTTGACATGAAAGGCATTGGTTTTGGGGGCATCAGGTTTCAACAAAAAATAGGTTTCACGCTGAGAATTAAAAAATCTTTGCTGAAAGGCATCCATTTCGGGGGCATTCTGTTTCAGGCAAAACAGGTTTCAATGTTGAGAAATGTTGAGAACATGCCTGTCATAGAATGCATTCATTTCGGGGCGATAGTCCTGTACAAAAAAGTGGTGTCTTCGGTCATCAAGGGCATCCAGTTTGGGGCACTATGATTCAGCCAAAACGGGCTTCAATGTTGAGACCATGTCTGCCATAAAAGCATCCCTCATCCATTTTTGGGGCGCTAGTTTTCCACGCAAAAAAATGTTTCAATGTTGAAGATGTCTTCACAGTTGGGGGCTGGGGGCCAGTAGATTTTCACAAAAATGGGCATCTTAAGGCAATCACATGCAAGATCAATTATCAAAATTGTGGATCTCCACTTCACATTCCAGTCAACGAGACTGTTTTCAAACGAAACCACCGAAATCCCTGCGCTGGCACCCTGCAAAATGGAAGTCACCCTCATGATCTACGTCGATTGCAAATCCAAATATGTCCGAATGGTGACCACATTCCAAAGCCAGAGCAAGACCGAGAGATGTTTGAAGGTTGATCAATGCTCTTGGGTGCAACTCCACAAACCTCATGAGATTCAGCAGCCTATGCCCAACTTCCAGGTCCATCCCACTTCGTCTCCTGCCAAAGGAACAGCGGCCTCTTGATCCGCCATGGCCCGGCGCCATATCACAGGCTCAAAAGCGCTGCCGGACTAGTGGATGAAGTGGATATAAGCGGATTTTAAGATGTTTAAGGCACAAAACTTATGGATGTCTTGACTATTTACAAATCCTGACATGCATGACCGGGGTATAGCTGTTAACAACCATGTTGGATGTAGGAAATTTTGGGCTCCACAGGCACTTCCTGACTCCAAAGTTTCACTCATAAAGCCTCTTCCAAGGAGGAAACAAATCAGGGTTTAAGTCGGAGAAACCTCCCAAGCCCTTCTTTCGAGGTCGCTCGGACCTGGCCAAAGTTTGAAGATGTTTCAAAATTCATTGGGAACCAATTCCGGGTCCACTCTTATTGACACGTGCGGATATAAAGGAAGTTTGGCAAATGAATAAAGCAAGTTGTTGGCCAAGAAAGTTACAGGCACTCACTGCCTCACTGGCTTGACGAGAAATCAGTTGCTGGATGTTGCGGGCAAAAGCTTGAACACCAAAGTCGAACGGTTGACATGCGCATGACCAGGAGCAGCTGAGGTTGCCAAAAAGACATAACACATATAACACATGACACATATAAATCTAAATTATAAAAACAAATCATTGTTTTTGCGCCAACAATTGCTGGGCAACACTATCATCAGAGGCCCTGACCTTGTGACTCTGGAAGTGATCCGATCCCAGACGCCAAGTCTGCAGACTTCGAGTGCTGTGGGGGTCAAATCGAGACGCGCCCTGTTTTGACAGATTTGCTTGGTAATTCGAAGCTCCGATTTCGGGTTCTATAGATCTCAGTGAAACGGGAGATATTGATAGATGATGATAGCTTGCGGCTCAATGCGATGCAGGGTCACGGGCTGGAAGATGCTGATATGCCTGCGAGTCAATGGAGACTTGGTGGAAAATGCAGAACTTTCTAAAGTGAATCAACCACAAATCCCACAGGCATACCAATGCAATTTGTTGGAAAAATGTTGCTATACTTCTGGGAGAAGCTTGCATGCGAATCCATTCCCAAACCCAAACTGCAACAAGCTGGGCAAAAACTCAAACGTCTCTTTATCGGTCAAACATGTTCTGAACAAAATCTGAATTGCAGAACTTTGAGAAACTCAAACATGCCTCCACTTGCTGCCTCAGAAGCAAAATCCTTGACAGTGGGGAAAAGCCAAGGCCACAGGCCAGCTTTCCATCAAATTAATCCAAACATCTTGGTAAAGATTGAAACCGATTCGAGCATGTCGCCTGTGAATGTCTTGGAGGGAAATTTTGGTCTCACAGCGCCTTTAATCAATTGGCCCGTGCTGTCGTTGGAATCGCTCCAGGTTACGGCGACCCGCTCGGGTCTTTTCGTGCTCCGGACCATGCAGCTCCTGCAGAGAAGGCGGCACCGAGCGGGCTGAAAGTTTTGCGGATCTTAGAGACACACACACACATGTGTTGGCAGGGCTCAATGATTTCACGCTCGCGCCAGCGGGCAGCAAGGAACTTGCAACACCGAACGCCATGATACCGAAAGCAAAAAGATAGGAAAAATTACAGTATCAGATTATCAGATCAAAAATTGTTCTTGTTGCAAAATCTAGATGCATGAATATACAGTGAAGACGTCCATTGATGGAATTCAACTAAAGGCGACCAAAACGTTTTGACGGACATTACTTTGGGACTCCAAAATCCACGAGCAGCGACTACCAGCCGGACCAATGTCCAGCTGGGACTACCAGTTTCATCATGGCCTGGAGCCGTCCAAGGCCAGCCATCGACAGTTCCCGTGTGACCCCGGCAGACGCCTCCAGGCCACGCAGCTCGCGGAGATAAAGCTGCCCTGCCTAGACGTGCTGCATGGCAGTGGGTGGCTACCCGGGACCCGGGCTGATGACCTTGCAACCGCATCACTTGGAACTTGCAATATCTTAATACCGGTTGGGTATACCCAACCAGAATGTCACAAAACCTCGTCTCTATAGAAAGCATTTATAAAAAGAAAACAGAATAAAACATCATCTTTCGAATCTTGACAACACTCTTGCCAAGACTAGTGAGATCTCCTTTCACGAAGGCGTCGCTGTTAAACCACTTCTTCAACTTCCATCAACTTCCCACCTTGACATCTCCTCCAAGCAGAAGCGCACCAAGCAACAACACAAGTCGACTCGACTGAGACTCCCCTCGCCTCTGCAACGGAGCCTTTCACCTCCAGAAGAATCGCCAGACCCCGTACGGATCCGAGGGTGTCCGGATGCACGGGGCCCAGCTGACCTTCTCGCCCCGTCAGGGCCCTGCGAAAGAGCTCCTCCGCCTGCAGGGTGGGTTGTGGATGGATGACAGCAGGGTGGCGCCCCATGCCGTAGCGAGATGGGCCTTGTACTGTGATCCGCAACTGGTGAAAGGCAATGTGTTGGTGGTGCAATGTGGCACATTGATTGTTCAAACATCAAAACCCGCAAATCTCAGAATTTGATCTGCAAGGGATGGGATTGTGGGAACCAAGAAGCCAGGGTGAAGGCTTTTGTTGTACTGCGTCAAGCTGGCACACATGATCGATGCATCAGCCAAAGCTCTATATGCATAGTCACTTCTTGCAAAACAATGTTGATCTACCCCTGCACAAAATGCATGTACTGCTGTTGAGATCCAACAACCCAGTCAAACGAATTAGGCCCAATCTGGTATCTACAGCCGAAGCTTGGATTCCGGAGAAACAGTTTCATGATGCTTGGCACGTGTCTTGCGGGGTCAACTCACCAAATTCACTCGCAACAATCCTGGGGACAGTCAATCACTATGGGAACGGTGGGAACTCACCACAATAAGATTTAGATGATCACCAAATTCATTCATAAAACATCATAAATTCAGTCCGAGGTGAAAGTGGGAAGCAAGAAAACTCACCCGTACCAGTCTTTCCGCAACTTCTGTGTACCCCAAGAACCTCAGCCTGGCCTCCTCCAACTTGCCCTGTTTGTACAAGAGATCGGCCAAGTTGTGCACCCAAACGAGGGTGTCGGGGTGTTGGGCTCCCAGTTGGGACTCGCCGCCTTCCAAGGCTCGGCGGTAGAGACCTTCTGCCTGGCGGCTCGAGATGGAGCGCTGAGGTGTCGAAACATGAGAAGAGCCCCAGCTCAGGCCCCATGGGTCATGGAAAGGGAAGAATAAGCCAACAAAGGCCACAATTTTTGGACTATAGTGAGAACATACTATTCCAAGCGCTCGTCAGGCACTCTTTGGATTCACGGGATGCCAAGAAGCATCAATTTACTCAATTTACTCACAGTGTTTGCTCACATTGCTGGCCCGCTCTCACGAAACAACCCTGGGGCGACCACGGAGGGGGCTACGGCGCGGATGATCGGTCATCATCTCAAACATTGTCAAACGCCCTCGAAAATAATCAACGGATTAAACCTGCTAAGGGCCTCGAAAAGCCCTGCCGAGCATGTAGGCAGGCTAGATATGGCTAGATTGCATATAACAAGAAATACTCCCTTCACAGGTTCAGCTGAACTGGTGATACTGTCACAATCAAACAGGTGCCTATGCGGCCGACTAAGATCATACATCTCACAGGAATTTGCAAACTTCAAAAGCCAATAGGGACGTTGAGCCTGTACCTGTTGGCAACCTTTTGGCAAGCTGCGTTTTTGTTCAGCGTTTTGAAGACTCTTCGCAAACCACTTTAACGTGCAAATTCACGTTCATAGCTTCAGACTTTCACAGATTCCTCACACAAACAACTGACACACGATCATTCCCATCTAGCTGATTTTGATCCTGCTGGGTTGATCATGCTGCATGCGTTTTATCGTGATCCGGAAACTCTTGCACATAGAATCAAGAGTCCGGGTTTAATCAATTAAAGAGGTGTTGGTATCGTGAAGAAGGGTCTTACAAACAGCCTTGGCTGACTGATTTTGGAAACACAAAAATCTAGGGCGTGTGTTGAACTGCGCCAAATTAGTACAGTATTGACATCACTCATCATCACTATGCTGTTGTGTTTCCCAGTGTGATGTCACAAGCCGTACAGTTTTCTTTTGCCTAACAAGCCCCAAAGATTCTGAGTCTGTCAGTGATGCAACTCTTTGAAAGGAGTTTGTACTTTTCTTAGTTTTCCGCTGAGATTTCATAGTTTTAGATTGCGGGAAAATGCAAGCGGCTGATCGGCTCCCAAGGTTGACTCACCTGTTTTGAATTGGAGGACAGATCCTTGGCACCAACCCTGATGCACATTGCATGTATGGATTTCATGCCCGAGCAATTCAACTAATGAATTTGGGCGAAAATTAGGAGATGCTCAAATTGGAGACATGGAAGTGTCCACTCTTCCACTCTTGTTTACTTCAAAAAAAGCGCCTTCCCCTTGGAACTTCCACGGGGAAGGTCACCTTTCTGCCCCTGACCTCGGTCTGGCCTCTTCCAATTTGCCTTGCGACTCGAGGATGAGAGCGAGAACGTCCACGGAGATTAGCGTGTTGGGGTGGCTCGCGCCCAGCTGCGCTTCACGCCTTGCGAGCGCTTTGCGTTGCAGTTCTTCGGCCTGGCGGCTCGAGGTGGCGCCGCTGCGGCGCTACAAACTAGCAACGTAAGTGTCAGGCAATTTGTGTAGTCACTGCGGTATGCAAACTACCATATACAGTATATATATGATTATATATGTATATCTCCATATATCAATATCAATCGCACAGCTTTCGTGGGTTGCCGGCTGCAACCAGGAAACGAGTGGGAACAGTATGGGGGTCCTGCAGATGTCATACTTTCATTCAGCATGCGCCTATATAGATATATTTATACTATAGCCATCTATAGGCCTCATTTGCAAGAATTCACCGGAAAGATGTCTATAGGCCTCATTTGCAAGAATTCACCGGAAAGATGTGACAGTTTTGCCATGTGTTCATTTTGCCGATTACAACTATGAAATGTGGATGGAGGTCCCAACGATGTATTACGCCCAAAAAAGGTAATCCAGCAATATTGGGAAATTGACAAGAGAAAATCCAGGCCTCAGGCCTTGGCCAAACAAAAATATGCCCTAGGTGAAACGTCCAGTAAGGTCACCTCTCACCCCAAAGACCCTCAGCCCCGCCTCATCCAGCTTCCCCTGCTTCCACAGGAGGGCAGCCAGGTTGTTCATGGACTGAAGCGTGTCCGGGTGATTCGTGCCGAGGTGCACTTCGCGCCCTGCAAGAGCTCGGCGATGCAGGGCCTCCGCCTGGCGTCTTGGGATGATGGCGTCGGTGGTGTGGGGCCCCAGGCCTGGATCCGCCTGTGAGTACTATGTGACCATGTGGGAAAGGAAGAAAGATGAACAATGGCTTTGTGTTTGGATTGATGAAAAAGATGTCAAATACAATTGTGCCATGTAAGATGCACACATAATTCAAAGCTGATTCAAAGCTTGAAGAATAAAACGCAAAGGTCGATGAGTTGACATGTTCAACAAAATTTGGATGTGAGTCATCTTCGTTCCAATCTTCCCGTTGTGAAAAAAATCCAAACTCAGAAAACAAAAAGAATCATCCAACAATACCGGAAACAAAACGAATCTCCAGGCTTCAAGCCTTGGTCAAACCAAAAAATGCCCTTGGTGAAACGTCCAGGAAAGTCACCTCTCACCCCAAAGACCTCAACCTGCAACCGACCCCAGGGAACCAGGGGGAGCGCGTCTGAGAAGCAATGCCAAATGGCAAGAAAGAGGGTGCATCTGCAAAATTACTTCGTTGGTCTTCATTGAATTCGGTTGGCAACACTATCCTGTTGGTGACTTCAGAAGCCACGCAGTTCCTTGCTGGTATAGTGAATCTTGAAAATTCTTCAGGTTTGATGAACTCTTTTGAGAGTGTGATAAAGGGTGACTATACTATACTTTCATGAGATTTTGCCGAGGGTGGGCACATGGTCAGGAGGTGTGGGAAACAAAAGCAAGTACATATACAAACAAAAAACCCTGCAACAATGATAAATAATTGCATAAATGAATCACTGGTCACATCGTTTCAACAATACCGGGAAACAAGAAGAAAATGCAGGCCTCAGGCCTTGGTCAAACCAAAAATGTGAAGCGTCCTCCAGGAAGGTCACCTCTCTCCATCCAAAGACCTCAGCCCAGCCTCATTCAGCTTCCCCTGCTGCTCCAGAAGGCTCGCCAGGTTGTTCATGGAGATCAGCGTGTCCGGATGATTCGCACCGAGGTGCGCTTCGCTCCCTGCAAGATCTCGGCGGTGCAGGGCCTCCGCCTGGCGTCTCGGGATGGCACCGGTGGTGTGGGGCCTGCAGGCCTGGATCCGCCTGCGAGTACCATGTGGAAAGGGAAGAAAGGTGGGCAACGGCCTTGAGTTTGGATTGATGAAAAAGATGTCAAGTAAAATTATACCATGTAAATGCACACATAATTCATGAAGAATCAAACGCAAAGTTCGACGAGTTGACATTTCAACATAATTTGGATGTGCGTCATCGTCGTTCCAATCTTCCGTTTGCAAATAAACTCCAACCTCAGGGTGCATCTGTTCTGTGATTTTTTGCAAAAACGCTTTGACAGCCTCAGACATCTCAGACTGAAACTTGCAACGCGGCATCTGTTCTTTGCACACATCTTTTGCTAAACTTTGACATGTCCATGTTTTGGCAAGTCCATACATGACATGATTTGAGATGATTTGCGTAAAATTGACATGTTCATGCATTATCGCACTTCTACATAGATGACAAAAGTCTGAGATGATCTGAAAATGCGTTGATTGTTTCCCTGCATTTCCCAACTTTTCCCAACACAAAATGCAGCGCCATCCACCCGCCACGGTGACTGCAGCACAGCACATCAGCGGCGCCTCGCTGAACTTCCCCAGGTGGTGCAGCACTGCCGCCAAGTTGTTCACCGCGGTGAGCGTGTCGCGGTGCTCGGGGCCCCGGCGCCGCTCCCGGGCCTCCAGGTCTCGGCGCAGCAGCGGCTCGGCCTCGGCGAAGGCGCCGCGCGCCTCCAGCACCCAGGCGAGCCTCGGCGGTGGAGCGCCACGGGAGCCGAAAAGTTCCCACGGCTCCGTGGAGAGAGGGCACTTTTTTGACTATTTGTGGTGTCGTGGCAGATTTTTGGATCCAAGTCCCTGGTGAGAAAACGGGATTCTGGGATTCGAATTGTTTTGATTTCACTTGAGCAGTTGCTGTAGGCTGTACTTATTGTTTCTGTTTGAGCTTGTTGTAAATACTGTTGCCTACTGCAATCTACGGCTTTCACTTTTGCAGCTTTGTGGGATTTCTGGATGCAAATCTCTGGTGACAAGACAATACAGTTCTTGACTCAACAAATTCAACAAATACATGTTTGCTAGTGTGTTGGTCTCTTTGGAGGGACTGAGATCCGCACCGGCTCAGTGCCACAAGCGCAAATTCGTGCTCAGGGCCCAATCTTTCAGCTGTGGCATCTGCACGGCACCGCAGCCTTGGTCCATGAGGATGCCTATCACATGGCTGTGCCTATCACATGGCAATGCGGTGGTCGACCATGTCACCAACATGGAAGACACATCAAGTTCAAGAGAATGGCCAACGGTACGCAAAATCGTCAAGGTGTGGGACGGCTCCCGGCTTCAGTCAGAAGCTGGCTACTGGGCTGCAATCCATGGTCCCTGCTTTGCGGGATCTTCAACCATATGTTTTACGCGTGAGGGTGGGGGAGGCCAGGTTTTTTGAAATTGGCAGACGTTTGTCCTAAATGGAGCGGGTAATTCAAGTCAACTCATAGCATAGTCAATAGACATGGCATAGACGAATATAGCCGATAGATACTATAAAACTCGAAGTGGGTCGTACTCAAGAAATCTCAGAAGGCAATGTCGCGCGGGCACTCCTGAAAGAGTTTCAAAGTTCCACGCCTTCTCCACATCTTAAAGTGAATGGTCAGGTGGCAAGATCAAACATCAAGTGATTCTGCTCCATGCCTTTACTCCCTGATACTTTCAATTGCAGGACAAGGAGCCCGAGCCAGGACAAACGGTGTTTTTATCTTGCGGTGTACCTTTCTAGATCTGGAGTGCAAAATATTGGATTGACAAGCGCGCCCGCTCTCG